ACAGTTTCAAAGAAAGAAAAGATAGTTTCAGTACCATTAAAAATAATGATTAATTAATGGATGTGTGGATGGATGGATAAATTAATTAATAAAATGGTAAATTTCATGTAGTAAGATTTACATTCAAGTATGAATGAAAGTAATTAATAATGTTTTTGAACAGGACTAGAACAAATTGCTGAAACTGCAGGAGGGAAGGACAGCTCTCCTCCAGGACAGTCTTCCTCTGGAAGGACTGAAGGAGGAATGGACAACCCTACTCTACGACAGCCTCCCTCTGGAAGGATTGAAGAAGGAAGGGACAACCCTACTCTAGAACAGCCTCCCTCTGGAAGGATTGAAGAAGGAAGGGACAGCCCTACTCTAGAACAGTCTCCCTCTGGAAGGATTGAAGAAGAAAGGGACAACTCTCAGGAGTCTGAAGATGGACAAATTGGCTCAAAATTAGTAGTAGTATCAGGAAGGCATACAAGCCGTCCTATGAATCCTGAAGAAGAAAGGGCAAAAACAGAGAAAAAAGAACTGATTCATAAGACATATGGTCCCAAAGTTGAAGATATGCCCCATGACGTTAAGCACAAAGTATGTCTAATGCTTAACCCTATACAAAGGCTAAAAGCTGATGACTATTGCAAGGTAGCTGACGAAATTGGCTTGACCCACTATCAGATAAGGAATTTGGCAAAAGAAAACCCTATGGAGGATGTTTTTGAGGTGATGATCAGCCAAACAAAAAAAGTAGATGAGTTTGTAGATATTCTATTTAAAATAGGTAGAGGTGATGTTGTACTGAAGATGTATGACATGGCACTACACACACAATCTTAGTAATTCTGAGTACGTCTGGTGGCCATTAGTAGTTAGAAAAAGTTAAAAGCCCCTAAGAACAAGTTAAGATTAAGGCATGTTTTTTTTTAATTTAAAAATTTTACCAGCACAACGGATACATATTTTGGGCTTGCCTGTGGTTTATCAAGCCCTGAATGTCAAATGAAATATTTCCAAAAAAACATTCACTCTTTCGTTGCTTGGTGGTTCAAAACCACAAAGAAAGCAGTGCGTTGTTTCTTGTAAAGTTTTCTTTGAAAAATCTTCTTTGTCACCTTCGATATTCCAACACAAAATTTGACAGCATGCGGCAATCGTTTGGTTTTGGCGCGAAATTCTATTGAGGATTTTAATTGGCTCCTCGACAAACAAGCCGATTTCGAGTGGCCCATAATAACAATTGGAAAGGAATGTTCTGMTCAAGTAAGCAGAAGACCTGTGACGAGAGAGACTGAGAGTTTTTTTGGTTCCGAAGGCACTGATATGAGGCGAAATACAAGTCAAAATACATGTCTAAACACGTGTATCGAATACAAGTAAGAYATTGTTTTGAAATAGAACTTGACACTCTGTGACATTGACTGCGCATGTACAAGAATATGGCCAGGATGCTTCGACGTCAGATTTCTACGTAATACT